TTACCTTTATTTATATTTTTTTAGAGACAGGATCTCACTCTGTAGCCCAGGCTGGAGTGCAGTGGTGCTTTCATAGCTCACTGCAGCCTCGAACTCAAGCGATCCTCCTGCCTCAGCCTCCTGAGTAGCTAGTACTACAGGTGCCTGCCACCATGCCTGGCTAATTTTTAAAAATTTTTTTATACAGATGAGTCTTGCTATGTCCTTTTCTTTTTACGTGTGTGCAAGAGACAAATGTGATAATCTATTTAAGTCCAAAAGAACTTTTTCAATAACCACAAAATTAAAATTGTAGGTGATAAGAAAAAGTTAACTAAAAAAAAAAAACCCACTGGGAAACTGGGCAGTGACTCATGCGTGTAATCCCAGGACTTTGGAAGTCCAAGACAGGAGGATAACTTGAGCCCAGGAGTTCGAGACCAGCCTGAGCAACATAGCAAGACCCTATCTCTAAAAAAAAAAAGAAAAATTAGCCAGGCATGATGGTGCACACCTGTAGTCCGATTGACTCGGGAGGCTGAGACAGAAGGATCTCTTGAGCCCAGGAGTTCTAGTCTGCAGTCAGCTATGATTGTGCCACTGCATTCTAGCCTGGGCAACAGAGTAAGACCCTGTCTCAAAAAACAAAGAAAGAAAGAAAAAGAACACAGTGAGATGTCACCTCACATCTGTTAGGATGACCACTATTCCCCCTCCCCAGAATAACCCAGATTGCAAGTCTTGGTAAGGATGTAGAAAAATTGGAACTCTTGCACACTATTGGTAGGATTGTAAAATGCTACAGCTGCTATGGAAAATAGTATAGAGATTTCTCAAAAAATTAAAAATACAATTACCATATGACTCAGCAGTACCACTTCTGGGTATATTTTCAGAAGAATTGAAAATAATTATTAGTCAGGCATGGTGGCACATGCCTATAGTCCCAGCAACTCAGGAGACTGAGATGGGAAGAGCCCAGGAATTTCGGGCTACAGTGGGCTATGATCATGCCACTGCGCTCCAGCCGGGACAACAGAGTAAGACCTTGTGTTTAAAAAAAAAGAGAAGAAGAAGAAAATCTTGTCATATGCTAAAACATGGATAAACCTTGAGTAAATTATGCTAAGTGAAATAAGCCAATCACAAAAAGACAAATACTGCATGATTCTACTCATGAGGTATATGAAATAGTCAAACTCATAGAAACAAAGTTTTTTTACATGTGTAAAAAATGTAACTTTTTATTATATGTAATTTTATATATTATATATAAAGTATTTTATATATATAAAGCTTTATTTACATATATAGGTTTACAACTAAGAATAGAATTTTGGCTTGTCCTAGCTACTGGGGAAGCTGAGGGGGGTGGATTGCCTGAGCCAAGGAGTTTGAGGCTTCAGTGAGCTATGATCGCACCACTGCACTCTAGCCTGGGTGACAGAGTGAGAGCCTGTGTCTTAAAAAACAAAAGCTTTGGCTACTAAAAACCAAACTAATTTTTGGAAGAAGGAATGTAGGCCCTCTGATATTTTCCTGGTAATTAGGTTCCTCTTGTATTTTGTAGATCTTGTATACGTAATCCAGTGGAAAACATCATGAAAATAGTGAAAGGAATAGGAGAGACTTTCTGCCAACACTATACTCAATCAACAGATGAACAGCCAGGATCTCACATAGGTAAGAAGCAAAAATAAAAACTGGCACAATATTGAAGGTCGATAGATTGTCCCCCAAAAAGCACAAATTCAAGTTTTTTCCTTGCCTGTTTTTCTTAATGTATCAGATTTAAGTGTATATAATTTTTGTTCTTCAGTGCTTAACAACTAAAATTAATGAGCTCCTTTTTCCCCTATGTTTCCCCTGTAGACTTTGCTGTAAACAGACTAAAGCTGGCAGAAATTTTGTATTATAAAATATTAGAGACTGTAATGGTTCAGGAAACACGAAGACTTCATGGAATGGACATGTCAGTAAGTAAATTCACTCTCCCAGCCACTGGCAAGGTCCAAAAGTCTTAGCCTGGAAGCAGTGTTTTGAGATGCTCTATAGGGCATTGTAGAGGTCAGCAGTTTATGGCAAATGAGGCCAAGATGACATTTTTGTTGACTTTGGCACATGCAGGGCTAGCTGTGTATAGACAGAAATGTGAAATATGTAAAATTCATCTTCGGTACACAATGTCCTTTCCCTGTAGGTCCTTTTTTTTTTGGTCCTTCATTCCCAGATAGTGATAATGAACCCTCCCCAACTATTAAGCCAACTGATAATTAAGATATTTTTCCATACCTCCCAGGATTTGGGATTATAAAATGGTGGGAATTTTTAAAAATTGCTTCATTTTCTTTGACTGTTTGACCAAGTCTAACCACTCTCTACAATAGCTATGTAAAATAATTTTTCTATAAGTCAAAACTATCATATGATCTTTCGGTTTCCTCTTCCCTCCTTTTTTCCCCCTGTAGTCAGTCATTCTGGGAATCTTCTGACCTTCTATTTCAACAGGAAGAGGTTGACATCTAAGAATGCTAAATAACGGCTGGGAATGGTGGCTAATGCCTGTAATCCTAGCACTCTGGGAGGCCGAGGCAGGAGGATCGTTTGAGCTCAGGAGTTCGAGACCAGCCTGAGAAAGAGCAAGACCCCGTCTTTACTAAAAAAATAGAAAGAAATTAGCTGGATAACTAAATACATATATACACATAAAATTAGCTGGGCATGGTGGCACATGCCTGTAGTCCCAGCTACTCGGGAGGTTGAGGCAGCAGGATTGCTTGAGCCCAGGAGTTTGAGGTTGCCGTGAGCTAGGCTGAAGCCACAGCACTCTAGCCC